TCGAGACACTGCGCCTGAAACTGACGCCAAACTGCGAGCAACAGCGCACTAAGATTGTGACCTTGGGTCACATTGCGTACAACATGCCACAGGCCTTCCTTACGCCCATTAAGAATATGATTGCGCGTCGCATTGTCAAGGAGCTTCTCATCCAAGAGGTTCCGGCTCAGCGGGATTACGAGCTGCCAGAGGACAGTGACTGGTGTGCGCAAGAGGAACTTCCGCCAGACACGCTGTGTAAGCTGGATGCGCTTAAGGCTATGGCCCGCTGGCTTTTGGGACTGCGCACCGATGAGCATGCCGCTCAAAAGACATTCCGTATGCTAGCCGCATTTGTCAACCAGCGGGGCGATCTCCTCGGCCAGAACCGCCTTTGCGGTGCCGAGAAATCCTGGTTGCGTCTGGGAGCAGCCTGCGCCATGCTCAAGGTGTGCGAGCAGAAGGGCGTAGGCGATCAGTACAGTGCCGAGCAGTATTTGCAGCTTTCTCAGCTGATGGTAAGAAGAGAACCCCAACTTACGCTTAATAAATCTTAAGTATCATTTTTACTTTCCATAGGTTGACCCGGTGCCCGAAGTTCGGGAAATCTTTGCTCGAAAGTTACACAAGGGACTAAGCAGAAGTCTGCCCAGGAACTGCCTGCCCCTGGACTTTATGGGCTTGTATGTGCTGGCTGGTCTAGAGACGGACAGAAAGTGAGTTGCTATACTGCGCTTTCGCCAAAATACTTATAAATATTTTCAACAGATTACAAGACCTTGTGCGTCATTATGCGGAAACGGATGTAAACAAACGTCGGGAATATCTCAAGACTGTGGCAATGACATGTAAATGTTTTATATTATTCGTATTCCTTTTCATTCTAACCATTTAACAATCATATTCCAGCTCCCGACAGCTCAACTGAGTCACAATCACTTCACATTCTACCTGACTATATGCTGGCCTTCGCTATTCCGGTGCTGGTCCACGATCCCCGCTTCACGAATCACGAGGATTACGTCCAGCTCCGCAAAATGGAGAAGTGCCTGCGTTTCGTTCTGGAGCCCCTGATGGCCAAACGGGAATTGTTTGTCCACAGCTTCTACAAGCAGCTGCTACAGCTGATAAAGCATCGCGAGTTCAGCCAGGGATCGGACAAGCGCGACAATTATGTATGCCACCAAATCATTGACCTGGGTTTCCCCTTCTATAACATTTTTGTATTCTTTCCGCTTATCAGAAAATGTGGGCGCTCTGCGATCTCGCCATGTACATTATCGACTCGAAATTCAGCCCATTTGATGCCAACACGAGCACATTCTCCATGCCGCTGGCCCTGCCAGAAATGTATTATAAACAGCCTGCCGTTGCAAATTTCCAAAACAACGAGGTCTATATACCGCTGGACGTGTATACGTTAGGAGCCAAATCGACGAGCAAAGCAGCCACGACGGCCATGACAGCGTCACGAGCGGCAGCACCCTCAAAGAGGCCGGCGGAACCATCGATCCTGGATGATGAGAATCCGCAGGTTAGTGACAGCTTACAAAAATATTAAACATTTAACTTACTATTACCATTCCCAGGAGAACAATCTGTTTGACAACATACGAGCGGCCGACACAACAGAGCCCACGGCCAAAAAATCGCGTGCGGGAGGTGCCTCAGCCAAATCATAGGGGCTGGAGGGGTAGAATAAAGGCGGATCGAGCGCGTACTTGTTAGTTTAGTTATGTTTAGTCTAGGCGCCTAAGTTAACTAAATATTTAAGACGTAGGCAAAACTACGATAGTTGTTAAACCGACACTACCTAAAACCTACATCATGCAGTTCACACTTAAACACCCAGAATTCGGATTCTTTTAGTTTCGCATGCATTTTGTAACATAATAAACTTGTGAGATAGACCAAAAACGCAAAATCAGATAACGTGTCGCATATAATCTGTTATTCGCATCTCCATAAAAGTAATTATTTATCACTCTAAATGTTTTAACCTGTTTTTTTTACTGTGTCCGAACCTTTGGTTTACCTTTAGTTATAGAACTTAATGTATATCGAATAAATGAAGTATATCGCGCATTGGTTGCAAGAACGAAGTAAAGTAATGAAAACGTAAACAGAGCCTTATTAAGTAATTAAAATTAACTTTTCTATGAACTTTTAGTTAATATAATACGTCATTCATAATACATAACAAGCCAATCGCGTTAAATTCGACAAGAGTGCATTGAAAATGCATTGAAACAGAGAACTTCAACTGTTGTAAGGTTTGAATAGAGAACATAACAAAGATACAAATAAAATGAATACACACACATTAACTATAAAAAATGTACATTTAACTATTAATACTGTTTTTCAATTACAAATAAACATATGATTATTATTTAAATGTTGAAGCGGGAGTCGGCAATTGGTTTAAACCTACAAATTAGCTATATCTTATTGAGCCAAATAATGATATCATTAATAAAATAAAATAATACTGGGACATACAAATTTTATTTGTTTTGTATATTTAAAATTTTGAAAAATGTTCAAGTCTTATACTAAAATACAAAGTGTGCCAAATAAGGGTTAAAGAAAATTCGTTGATCTCCAATGAACTATCGATAGGCGACTTTCGATAGTTCTATGTGCAACGCATGTATGTTTACCCACCACTAGTTCCAATTGCATTTTCTGCGTTGTTTTTTTTCGGGGGTGTGACGTCCATTGTTGTTGTTTTTGTGCTATTGTGAATTAAACCAACTGTTGTCGGGTGAAATAAAAGTGAATCGTTATCCGTACAAACTCTCCAACAAAGAAAGTTCAATTCAAAACAAAGCTTTCGCCGGCAAAACAACAAAATGCAGGTGGAACCAAACGGCCCTGGCTGTGACGTCACGCATCGCCAGCTAGGGGAAAACAAAACCAATTTGATTTTCTCGACGGCAGTCAGAAGTACAAAAACCGACAAACCGAACGGTCGGATCTATACCTCTACTCCAAAGACCTCTCATCCTCACCAGAAAGTTCAAAATTACGTGGGCTCTACCGAACCCACGGAAAAGGGGCGAGTGGGCGTGGTGACCGCCTTTGATCCGCTGCTCAAAAAAGTGGCCCTTCTCTTTGGAATTCTAATAATTGCCTACAAAAGCGTCATTTTAACCAGTAAGTGTGTCAAGTTGAGGGCTATATTGTGGGTGTATCGGGTACCTATTTATTTGTATATCCCCCTTGAAAAGCGGGGGTGGAAATTCAAGGTTGCAATTGTCGGCGGTGACGTCGTCTTCACTCGCTTTGTTTATATTTTCTCGTTTATAAATAGTTGAAGTTCGTGTGATCTCATAGCAGTGTTTATTCCCCCTGCAATAGCCCCCCAAATGGCAAAAAAACGTCTATATCTACATATATAAAGAAGGCAAACTGTTTGTTGCGCATTTAGCCTTCTCATTTGCATACGTATTAGAAGACCTCTGAAAAAGTTGAGAGTGATTAGTTGCTTCATTTTTAAAGCAAAAAGTGATTAGTTAGTTAATTGTTTGCCCAAAGGTGATTAGCCATTCGTCTTTGTTTAGCTTAACGGTGTTTGGCCCTAGGGTTTCGTCACGCGACACATACATAAATACATAAGTGGTACCGCTACAAAGCCCAGGAAAAGTAACGAATTTTACAATTCTGACGATCCAGCAATCTAGCCGTTGATTTGCATTAGGGTGGTTCGAGAATGTTCCAAGGAAAATGTAATAATGTAAACTGTTGTAGTTCCAACCCATTATATTAAGCAGTCTATCCAGATCGAAATAATAGATTTTCTTTTTTGTCATCTCAGAAATTATAATTTAATTTAAAAAATAGCAATAATTAATATGTTGTTATATTATATTGATTTTATTTTGAACATTTTCCTTTAAAACATCCACAAAACATTAAATATTTTGGGCTTGTAACTTTGTTGTCTTAAAAAACCTTTTTAACCCATTTAATTTGATTTAAAAAAATAGTAAATTGATTCCATTCGTAAATTGTATACAATCTATAAATAGATCAACCTATTTATTGGTTACGATTCAATTCAATGCATGTTTTGATCTATTTTTAGTTCATTTTTTGGCACATTCCAATTGTAAGAGCGGGCAAAATGCTTCGGTTTCCTCATAAATTAACAGATCTTGCCAATAAATTCACAACCACCCTATTTATAAACCTTATTTGTTGACGTGTTTATCGGCCCAAGACTGATAACACCGAAACCAATAGAACGACACTCAAACCGAGATACTAACGAGTTTTTTGTGTTTTTTTTACAGTGCCATACATCAGCGGCGACTCCATTCAGGTGCTGAGCCACCAGGTTCAGAGTCGGTGGAACGAGACCTTGGTGTGGGCCACCAGCCACCAGCTGGGCTCCAGGCTGAGTCCCCTGCTGTGTGGCCTCATTGTGGCCGCATTCGCGTACGGAATTGTGTACTTGGACAGCGCAGTGCCCGGCGTAAACCCGCCCTCGCCCTTCACGCCTCGTTCCAAGAAGCGGTAAGCTCTCGAGGAATTACCTTTCATTTTTCGTAATTCACATTGTCTTTCCATTTCAATTTGCAGTTTCCGCGATGAGAAGACCGCTTCGCTACACTTGGGCTACTTGTGCGCCCTGTTCTGCGGATTTCTGGTCACGGTCTTTATGTACTTCGATCTGTACTCTTAGAACTGAATAACCCTTTCCTTCCAATTAGTCAAATAAGTTCACCAGTATTAGAGTTTAAACGTCAACTTTGGAATTTGTATTTATTGTAGTCCCTGTAACAGTGCAATGCTCGTGGAGAGAATCATCAGCGGCACTTTGAAACTAACTTAGTTCCTAGGTATATCAATTATAAGTTACTTATTTACTAAATTATTCAAGATTTCTAAGCTACAAAGTACAAAATGAAACATTTCACTGTTGATTTAAGGCCAGGGGAGAAAAGCTTAAGCTTATCACCTGGCCTAGAAATCATGAAAACACTATATATGAAAATACCTTACTAAAGTATAACTTACTTATGCACATTGTTTTGCATCAGAATATACGTTGTCACATTTTCAATGCGCATACATTGTTGCTGCCAATCTTTACCGCTTACCTGGGCGATGTTGAAAGTTTGCAGTCGATTCTCGCCAATAAAATGACCGACGATATGAACATAACCGCCTGTAAATGGATCAAAGATGGGGTAAATGTTAAACCCTTTGATTAGAAGAAGTCTTCAGCTTGCCTGGGATCCAAGTTTTTAAAACTCCTTCGAAATCGTAGTAAATTCCCTGGAGGATGGGACCCGAATCTTCGTTTCGCAAAAGTAAAGTGTGCTCTCCACGTTTTCCCTCAATTATGCGCAGCAACTTCCCTGGAATTGTGATTATTAAAATGGAACATATCTAATTGAAACAATCCTAAGTATATAAATTTGCTTGTGTACTTCGGAAAATTTTGGAATAATGGTTTACGTTTCTTGAACAAATTTTTCAGCTTTTTTTAATGGATATCTTTAAAAACGTTCAATCATTTTTCGTTTCAGAAGTTCGGTTAGTATTTTCAAATCCCAAAATAATCGTATTTTAAGAGGCATGTTATGGAAAAAAACAAAATTTAGCGGATAAACACAAAATAGGCTAAAATTATTATTTAACGAGAGGATTTCGATTATCTTAATATGAAAAAAATGGTATATTGAATTCCAGACCCACCGTAAACATTCCAAATGGCGTTTATATCTGGATACATTCTATGGGTTTTAAGGCAGAAATCCACGTTACCGATCAAACTAATTAAATTTCGTCCTGGTTTGGACATCGGGGAACTTGGCAACTCTGTTTTTTCATCCTTTTTGGCGGAGACTTCGCAACTGGACTTTTCCTGGATCCTCGGAGTCGGAACGTAGACAAACTCCTTTTTGGGTCGCATTTCGCACTCCTCCACAAAACCATCGTATCTTAGTTTGTTGTCCTTGCGAGAGATACTCAGTTTAGTTTGTCGCAATTGGCTGTTATTTTTGCGCAAAAGTTGAGCGGCAGTTGGAAAACTGAGATTCAGTTGCGAGGTATTATTGGCCAGTTGACCCTTAAACTTGGCCTGGCTATTGACCAGAGGGGTGCGGGGCTTGCCTGGAACAAAGAAGGTACATTTTGAATTATTATTAAATATTTAATTTCGTTGTTCTACCTTTGGCGAACATTTTAGTAAAGATCAAATTGTAACGGCTCAGTTCCAGTCAGAGTGACCCTGTGCCAGTTTTTAAATTAAGAACATTTGAGCGCAACAAATAAGTGTTGGCTAACACAGGCCAGCTTTTGTTGCCACATTTCGCGAAACATCGAGTGTATCGAATACTTATCGATTACTGCTCCAACTGTCCACGCGAGAGTTTCATATTTTTATTTCTACATGCATATTTGTTGATAACTGGGGTTTTTAGTGGACCGCGTTTAACTGCCAGCCAGCCATGAGCACAATTTTGGAGAAAATCTCGGCCATCGAGTCGGAGGTGAGCGGTACATGGTGCACCTGGCGATCTTACAGAAACTAACCTGTCTTGCATCCACTTACCCCGCGGATTCCCCCCTGGATTCCTCTCAAATCACCGGGTTATGTGGATTTTCTTGGCTGCTTTGTAGATGGCCCGCACCCAGAAGAACAAGGCCACCTCGGCGCATTTGGGTCTGCTGAAGGCAAAGCTGGCCAAGCTGCGACGCGAGCTGATTTCCCCTAAAGGAGGCGGCGGCGGAACCGGCGAAGGTGGGTGATCCCCTAGTAAAACCTTTTAAATATTAATAAGTCTGTATTTCCAGCTGGCTTCGAGGTGGCCAAGACGGGAGATGCCCGTGTGGGTTTTGTCGGGTTTCCCTCCGTGGGCAAATCTACCCTACTCTCCAATTTGGCTGGCGTTTACTCCGAGGTGGCGGCCTACGAGTTCACAACTCTGACCACTGTGCCCGGCTGCATCAAGTACAAGGGCGCCAAGATCCAGCTGCTGGATCTGCCTGGTATTATCGAGGGCGCCAAGGATGGCAAGGGTCGTGGTCGTCAGGTGATCGCCGTTGCACGCACCTGTAACCTCATCTTCATGGTGCTGGATTGTTTGAAACCGCTAGGCCACAAGAAACTCCTGGAGCACGAGTTGGAGGGCTTTGGCATCCGGCTGAACAAGAAACCACCAAATATCTACTACAAGCGGAAGGACAAGGGCGGCATCAATCTGAACAGCATGGTTCCCCAGTCCGAGTTGGACACGGATCTGGTCAAGACCATTCTGTCCGAGTACAAGATCCACAATGCGGACATTACTCTGAGATATGATGCCACCAGTGACGACCTGATCGATGTGATCGAAGGCAACCGCATTTACATACCCTGCATCTATCTGCTGAATAAGATCGATCAGATCTCCATTGAGGAGCTGGACGTAATCTACAAGATCCCGCACTGCGTGCCTATCTCAGCGCACCACCACTGGAACTTTGACGATCTCCTGGAGCTGATGTGGGAGTACCTGCGGCTGCAGCGGATCTACACCAAGCCCAAGGGCCAGCTGCCCGACTACAACTCACCCGTGGTGCTTCACAACGAGCGGACCAGCATTGAGGACTTCTGCAACAAGCTGCATCGCTCCATTGCCAAGGAGTTCAAATAGTAAGAATGACTTATAGCCCATTCTTTTTCGAGTTTTGACATTTTTATACCTTTTTAGTGCGCTGGTTTGGGGTTCATCCGTGAAGCATCAGCCGCAGAAGGTGGGCATAGAACACGTTCTCAACGACGAGGATGTAGTGCAGATTGTGAAGAAGGTCTAGACTCTGTGAAACGGTTACACTCTGATTATTAGATGGCATTTTTTATTCAAAAATAAAAAACTAACGTGCTTTAGTCTTTCTTGAATTCTTAATGTATTAAGTTTGAGAAAAGCTAAAAATAGCTGACGATTTCAGTAAGATTTTCAAGAAATAATCTGTACTATCTTTGGGTTTTGTATAACTGCAATATATTTTAGTAAAATATTTCTGCCGGGTAAGTTTTTTAAATACAATAATAGGGCAAATTAATTAATTAATTCTAGAATTATAGCTAGATTTGACGGGAAAAAGCTGTACTGTCAACATCATCAGGCTGACTGTTTACCAACACTGGTAAAAAAGAGTCAACGATATCCGATAGACCTAGCAAAATAACACCTGACATCGAAGAACGATAGTCCAGGAATTAGAAAATAGCACGCTGTTTTGTTGTTAATGAAACTTAAATAATTTAAGCGAAATGGTGGAGCTGAAGATGGGCGATCACAACGTGGAGGCCACCAACTGGGATCCGGGCGACAGCAAGGACTGGTCGATGCCCATTAAGCCGCTGACGGAGAAGTGGAAACTGGTGCCGGCATTTCTGCAAGTAAAAGGTCTAGTGAAGCAGCACATCGATTCCTTCAACCACTTTATCAACGTGGACATCAAGAAGATTGTGAAGGCTAACGAGCTGGTGACCAGTGGAGCAGATCCCCTGTTCTACCTGAAGTACCTAGACGTGCGGGTGGGCAAGCCGGACATCGACGAGGGCTTTAACATCACCAAGGCGACCACGCCGCATGAATGCCGGCTGAGGGACACCACGTACTCGGCGCCCATCACCGTGGACATCGAATACACGCGGGGCACTCAGCGTATCAAGCGGAACAACCTGCTCATTGGACGGATGCCACTCATGCTGCGGTGCTCCAATTGCGCCCTCACCGGGAAGTCGGAGTTCGAGTTGTCCAAACTGAATGAGTGCCCACTAGATCCCGGTGGCTACTTCGTGGTGCGCGGCCAGGAGAAGGTCATCCTTATCCAGGAGCAGCTGTCATGGAACAAAATGCTCACCGAGGACTTTAACGGCGTGGTGCAGTGCCAAGTAACCTCTTCCACCCACGAAAAGAAGTCCCGCACTTTGGTGCTGAGCAAGCATGGAAAGTACTATCTCAAGCACAACTCCATGACGGACGACATACCCATTGTGGTGATCTTTAAAGCCCTGGGCGTGGTTTCCGATCAGGAAATCCAGTCGCTTATTGGCATAGACAGCAAATCACAGAATAGGTTTGGTGCCTCCCTCCTGGATGCCTATAATCTGAAAGTCTTTACCCAGCAAAGGGCTTTGGAGTACATGGGTAGGTTTGTTCACTCAACTCATTGGAGCATCTCTCTTAATGTGTTCTTTTTCTAGGCTCAAAACTGGTGGTCAAGCGCTTTCAAAGTGCCACCACAAAAACACCCTCGGAAGAGGCTCGCGAGCTGCTGTTGACCACTATTCTGGCGCACGTTCCTGTGGACAACTTCAACTTTCAAATGAAGGCCATTTATGTGTCCATGATGGTGCGCCGTGTGATGGCCGCCGAGCTGGACAAAACGCTCTTCGATGATCGCGATTACTATGGCAACAAGCGACTGGAGCTGGCTGGTTCCCTGCTCTCCATGATGTTCGAGGATCTGTTCAAGCGCATGAACTGGGAGCTCAAGACTATCGCGGACAAGAATATACCCAAGGTAAAGGCGGCGCAATTCGATGTGGTGAAGCATATGAGGGCGGCGCAAATTACCGCGGGATTGGAATCAGCCATAAGTTCCGGAAACTGGACCATCAAGCGATTTAAAATGGAAAGAGCTGGTGTAACGCAGGTGCTGTCACGCCTGAGTTATATATCCGCCCTGGGAATGATGACCCGTGTGAACTCGCAGTTTGAAAAGACGCGGAAGGTGTCCGGTCCACGGTCCCTGCAGCCCAGTCAGTGGGGCATGCTGTGTCCCTCGGACACGCCCGAAGGCGAAGCTTGTGGTCTGGTAAAAAATCTCGCCCTGATGACGCACATTACCACCGAGGTGGAGGAGCGACCGGTTATGATAGTGGCCTTTAATGCTGGCGTTGAGGATATTCGGGAAGTGAGCGGCAATCCCATCAATAATCCGAATGTCTTTTTGGTCTTTATTAATGGTAATGTTTTGGGACTCACCTTGAATCACAAACACCTGGTGCGGAATCTACGCTACATGCGCAGGAAGGGTCGAATGGGCAGCTATGTGTCCGTACACACATCCTACACCCAAAGATGCATCTACATCCATACGGATGGCGGTCGTTTGTGCCGCCCTTATGTAATTGTGGAGAACCAACGTCCGCTAGTGAAGCAACATCACCTGGATGAGCTCAACCGGGGAATTCGCAAGTTCGACGACTTTCTCTTGGACGGACTAATCGAGTATTTGGATGTGAACGAGGAGAACGATTCCTTTATCGCCTGGAACGAACAGCAAATTGAGGTGCGCACTACGCACTTGGAAATCGAGCCCTTTACTCTGCTAGGAGTCTGTGCGGGTTTGGTGCCCTATCCGCATCACAACCAGAGTCCCAGGAACACCTACCAATGCGCTATGGGTAAACAGGCAATGGGAATGATTGGCTACAACCAGAAGAACCGCATCGACTCACTAATGTACAATCTAGTGTATCCCCACGCTCCTATGGTGAAATCCAAGACTATTGAGCTTACCAATTTCGACAAACTGCCTGCAGGTCAAAATGCCACGGTGGCCGTGATGAGTTACTCCGGTTATGATATCGAAGATGCTTTGATCTTGAACAAGGCTTCAATAGATCGTGGTTACGGACGCTGCCTGGTCTACAAAAACTCAAAGTGCACGGTGAAACGTTATGCGAATCAGACCTTTGACAGGATCATGGGTCCCGTGAAAGATGCGCTCACGAACAAGGTGATCTTTAAGCACGACGTTCTGGACACTGATGGCATTGTGGCTCCTGGCGAGCAGGTTCAAAACAAACAAATCATGATCAACAAGGAGATGCCGGCAGTGACTTCGATGAACCCGCTTCAGGGTCAATCCCCGCAGGTTCCCTACACCGCAGTGCCCATAAGTTATAAAGGTCCCGAGCCCAGTTACATCGAGCGCGTGATGGTCTCCGCCAATGCCGAGGAGGACTTCCTGATCAAGATCCTGTTGCGTCAGACACGTATTCCTGAGATCGGAGACAAGTTCAGTTCGCGGCACGGCCAAAAAGGTGTGACCGGGCTGATTGTTGAACAGGAGGACATGCCCTTTAATGACTTTGGCATCTGCCCGGATATGATTATGAATCCCCATGGCTTTCCCTCTCGTATGACAGTGGGTAAAACTCTGGAGCTGCTCGGCGGAAAGG